ATGGCCAATACCAGTCCATTTCAGCTCACTAATGCCTAAGATATTGATGTTTATGCATTCCATTTCATTTTTGACAACTTCCAATTTTCCTAGATTCATACTTCGTACATTCCATGTTCCGATTTTCAATGGATGTTTACAGCTGTTTCTCTTCATTTTGAGTGCCCTATCAAGAAATGAAGGTCCCGCAGGCTTTTCTCCCACGGGCTTTACTTCATTTGTGTCATCATGGTCAACTCTACTCTGAGAAGGTAGCTCTTCCCGTCACATTTTAAGTGCCTTCCAACCTGAGGGGCTCATTTTCCTGCACTGTATCTGACAGTGTTTCTCTGGTATTCATAAGGTTTTCAGTGACTAAATATTTGGAAGTGGTTCATCACTCCTTCTTCCTAGTCTGTCTTCATCTGGAAGGAAGCTTGTCTGAAACCTGTCCACCATGGGTGACCCTGATGGTATTTAAAATACCAGTGGCATAGCTTTCAGAAGCACAGCGACTCACAAGCCTCCACAGTGTGACAAACTGCCAGATGACTGGTGCAGTTAGTAGTACAGTGCTTATCCTACAGTACCATATCAGGACTCCAAAAGAAAGCTGTTTAGATTTGTTTAATGCTAGCTTCCTAAGCTTATTTTGCGCAGTGCGGTGGCTCTGTAGGATAAGTGCTGGACTTGTGAACCACAGAGTCAGCAGGTGGAACCCATCATCTGCTCATCACGGCAATGATGAGGTTTTCTGTTCCCTCAAAAATGTATAGCCTCAGAAACCCTATACAGGCTCAACGTGAGTTGGAACTTAATCCCAGGCACGTAACAACAACAATAAACTTATTTGACCACAGAATCCTTTCCTTGAGGAATACCTATGAACACTGAACACACAGTTAAAAAAAAAAAAAAAAAAGATGATCTGCAAAAATGCAATAAAACCTGTTACAGTGCATAATAATGGCTCTATAGATTCAAAATATTTTCATATATATCATCAAATAGTTCTCAACCTCACTGTGTGTCAGAATTACCTCTAAGAACGCAAACGAACGGATTATTTTCTGCTTTAAATTTTTTGTTGGTAGCATGTGTCTTCAGTAATGGAAGGCTCACTGATACACGGAAAAAAAATTTTTTTAGCTATTATGGATTTTGATACAATTATGTAGAGTACATAATGTTATAAGTAGATTCTGGTGGTCAGATTGGTGGAATTAGTGCTGACTCACAGTGACCCTATAATGGATTTCCGAGACTCATAAATTTTTGTGGGAGCAAAATCTCATCTTTCTCCCATGTAGTAGCTGGGGAGCTTGAATCTTCAGTCTTGTGGTTAGCAGTCCAGTGTTTATCCTACAGATCCACCACACTCCCCTCTCCTCTCTGAGAGAAGACCACAAATTGAACATGTACTCAACAATAAAAGACTGTTATTTTATATATAAATACCAAAAAATGTTTGGGTAATCCTCCCATTATATACAATATTGGTTATGCTTTCTTGAGAAAACTGAGTATACTTTTGGACTCCACAAATTAAGAGTGATAGAGGGTATGTATATTGTAATGCTGTAAAGTACCGTTGAGTTGATTCAGACCCATAGCGACCCCGTGTAGGGTTTCTGAGGAGTGACTGGAAAGCTTGAACAACCAACCTTATAGTTCAAAACAACTTTGCAGTCCAGCACATTAACCCACAGCACCACACAGGGCTCCCTTAAATGCATAAAAATAATTATATTTGACTTTGGGGTATCAGTTTCCTCATTATAAATGGGGGTACTAGCATCTGTTGCTACAGGGCTGTTATTAAGATCAAATTTAAATAAACAGGGATGACATGATTATGAATGTTGTAAGATACCGGTATTTTCTCCAAAAAGTTATACAGATTAGGTTCTCATTAATGCAATTCTGTTTAGTCAAAGATAACCTCTTGTAGCATCATGATTTTTTATAATCTGTATTTTAAATTGTCAAACTAAAGCTGATTTAAATTTACATTATAACAGCTTCATTTCTATAGATAGATAATAAAGAGAAATTTACAAACTCAGCATTATACATTAGTAAATATGTACAAGGGTTGATTTTATTAAATCTTAATATCCATTTAAAAGCAATCCTTGAAAAATCACAAACATTACTGTATTTTTCACAAATAACATGCCCCATGTCCTAGTGTGGCACTGTAGGATAAGCACTGGACTGTTAATCATAAGGTCAGTGGTTCAAATCCACCAACCAGAACTCAGAAACCCTATACAGGATAGCTATTATTTGGAATCAACTCAACAGCACTTAACAACAACATACATAACTTGTATGAAAATATTAAGTGGTTTTGAGAGTTGGCACATAGTTGGCAAAAACAGAGTATTATGTACATGTACATCATTTGCATAAAAATATGGTAATCAAACAAGAGATAAATTTAGTGTTTCAACATACAAAACAAAAACTAAAGTGAAAACTTAAAAAACACCTCAATAGAACCAATGGCTTAGTTTTTGGTGTTGTTAAGTGCCATCGAGTGGGTTCCAACTCATAGTGACCCTGTAGAGGGTTTCTGAGGAGGCGCTGGTGAGTTTGAATCATCGACCTTGAGGTTAAAACTGACCTTACGGTCAAGTGCTTAATTATATGTCTCAAATAAGAAAATAAAAGTGATTTACAGAAGTTATTCTAAAGAATCACATAGATGAGAAAAGTGTTAAATCTAATAATTACAGTGTGTTGTTATTAAGCGTTGTTAAAGTTTACTCCAACCCATAGCAACCCTGTACTGGGCTTCTGAGGGGTAGCTGGTGAGCCTGAACAGCACATTAACCCGCAGCGCCACACTAGGACTCCAATAATTATGTTTTTGTTGTTGTTGTTAAGTGCTGTTGAGTCAATTCTGACCCATAGCAACAAAAATTAACCTGTAATCTCCTCATAAACATAACTGCTAACTAAAACTCAATACTTTAATCACAATTTAAAAAATGTTTTCATGATGAATATCAGTGACACTTACCAGTTATACCCTCTGCTAAAAGATCTGTCATTTTGCAGCATGATGCCAAAAGCTTAGTGGTAAATTCATCTAAGAGCATTATCTTAAAATAAATACAGATTAGGAAATATGTAAGTATCTGACTGCCAAGGATTCACAAAAGATGAAAAAGTCTATCCATTAAACCTACTCACTTATAACTCTTCTACAGTATAAAATTTAATTATCGGTATGGAAAGCCAAATAATCTCAAATCATCTTTTAAGTTGCATAACCTGGAGATTTACTTTCTCAATATACAAAGTATTATTTTTCCATTCCATTATATAGTAAGTACATAGAAATATTTCTATTTTGAACAAAGAACTTTTTAATTTTAAATATAATTTGTTTATATCAAATTCCCTGAAAATTAGATATGGCCACTTGGAGAATAACAATAATTGTGCCAGTCACTGTTCTAACCACATTGTACGGATTAATTCATTTAGTATTTTCACTACCCTATGAGGTATGAGCATCAACATCAGGCACATTTTTAAAGCCAAGGACACAAGCAAGAGAGGTCCGGTAACTTGCCCAACACATCACAACTGTTAAGTGGCGACGCCAAGATTTGAACCTAAGCAATATGATTCCAGATTCTGTACTCTTATAGAAATATCTGAATTCCTCAATATAAGGGCAAAGTGTGCAAACTCTACCTTCCATTCTCCTTCTTTCTTGCAGTCATCAAACACCGTGGTTTTTATCTCTGCAAAAAAAAATAAGAATCATATATGTGCCTAAAGCCAACAGTCAGATATAAAATTACTACTTGAAAGGTCCAAAATGTCTGGGAGGAAAAAAATCAAATTATATAAAAAGCACACATAATTGTCAAATCTTAAATAAAAATCTATTTCTCTTTACTTAAATAACTAAGCTACAGGGCAACATTTAAGCTGCAAAACATTTTTAAACTTTGAGAATAAAGGTATTTTAAAAAAGGGCTAATATATTTACAAGTATAAACCTACCTGGGTATATATTTCTGATATGTCCCTTGTAATCATTTTCAAATGAACCAAAATATAAAAATTAACTGCCTGATATACCCAAATTTTCCTCCTAGGTATTAAATAACAAAATATGCACAAACAACTTATACAAATATCTGTTCTACTTTATAAAAAGATAATTTTCCATTTAATATGCTTTATTGCTTTTCTAAATCTTAATTATTTTTAAATGATATGGATTCTGTAACAAAAGAAAATGCCTTTAAAATGTAAATTATAGTAACTTTTTATTAATTCTTGATAAGAAGATACCTCTATAACTCATTTAAACGTTTATTTATATTTAAGTAAAAACTTTTTAGAAATCTACCATCAGTTTTATGGTGGTAGTGTATTGTAAGCTGCTGCTGAGTCAATTCTGACTCATGGCAACCCCATGTGTCATATTAAAAAAGAGAGAGAGAGATTCTGGCTGTGTGCTGTGGAGTCGGTTCCGACTCATAGCGACCCTGTACAGGATTTCCGAGGCTGTAAATCTTTACGGGAGCAGAAAGCCTCATCTTCTCCCGCAGAACAGCTGGTAGTTTCGAACTGCTGGTCTTGCAGTTCGCAGCCTGATTAGTAACCACTATGCTACCAAAGCTCCTTATATTCTAGCAGAAGATAATGGTTATTACGAGTTACTAGTCAAAAGAATTGTGATCAGTAAAGTTTGCATTAAGAAACTTTAGTTACGCTGGTTATATTTTGTTTTCTTAGAGGATTATAATGCTATATAAGAAAGCCTTCATGTACTTACCCATTAACTTTTAACTTAAAGCACTAACTGCTAGGACCATACAGGAAAAAATGAAGGATTTTCTCAGGCAGAAGTCAGTAAAATATCATGCTACTACTTCCTTGGTAGCTGGCTCTATCTCTATACGTCATACAAGTGGAAAACTGGAGACAATCTGCTTGTTTTTACTGGCTTTCTGTATTTCAGAAACGAATGCTCACTTATTTTATAATGGAGCAGATTAGAGAACAACTTCCTCAACAGAACACATCTCATTCAAGTCTTTATTTTTTTTAGGAGCTTCACAGTGCAAGGACCCCAGGCTTACAGGGTGTATGTACTTCACTTCTGGTTCTTCTTTCTTAGTGGTTGTAGGTACCCACCTCACACACACACACCCACACTCCCGGCAAGTTAATGTTTTTAAAACCTAAGAATTACATTAGTTTTTATGGTAGAAACTAGCTACACTTGAAATATGGCTAGCCTAAAATGGCTTAGTTACAAAATAAAAATAAAAAAAAGGTAAAATACCATTTATATTGACTACACATTCAAATGGTGACATTTAAAATACATTAAATCAAGTAAAATATATTAAAATTAAATGTTTTCTTTAATGTGGCGACTAGAAAAAATTTTTGCTTGTTTGTTCAAATTGCATTGCACTTTTTATTTTACTGTTTTATCAAGTTGAATGTAAAATACTGTATTCTCACAAAAAAAACTATTTAAAATTCTTAAGTAACTGTTTTGGTAAAAACCATTATTCCTCACAAACTTCTCTGGACAAAAGTAGCTAAAACTGTTTCTTCTATTAAATTATTAATATTTATTTAAATATTAAACTATTAAATTTGGGGTAAGAGTAAGTAGGGTTAGAGTTGGGACTATGGCTATGTCTAGGCTAGGCAGGCCTAGGATTTCGTTTACTGTTAGGGTTATGGTTAGGACTAGTCCTCGTGTACCACTGTAGGGTAAAGCACAGGACCTCGAGGTAGGCTTTGAAACACAAGGTCGGCAGTCCAAACTCATCAATTGTTCCTCGGAAACCCTGTACAGGGTTGCTATGAATCAGAACTGACTCAACAGCACTTAACAAGAATTAGTATTAAGGATAATAAGGGTTGGGCAAGGGATAGGAATAAGGCTTGGTCTAGTTTTTAGGGTTGGTGGTGGTGGTGATGTGCCGTGGAGTCAGTTCCGACTCATAGCGACCCTGTACAGGATTTCCGAGGCTGTAAATCTTTACGGGAGCAGAAAGCCTCATCTTTCTCTGGCAGAACAGCTGGTAGTTTCAAACTGCTGACCTTGAGGTTCACAGACCGATTCATAACCACTACGTTACTAGAGAGAGCTCCTTAGTTTTCAGGGTTACAGTCAAGTATATTTGTTTCTTAAAATCTATTTGATTTTCTCTTCATTTGAAAGTGCTATAACGACATAAGTCCCTCTTTACTTTTTAATTTGCATACTTCTGTACCTGGGTTGAGTCTGGGTGATATTGTCATGCATGTTAATTTCAGCTTATATCTGTTATTGGGTCACATCACCAGGAGACAGGTAGTGATATCCAAAGAATACCCTTTAGTATTTTTTGTAGGGTTGGTCTGGTTTTTGCTAATTCTTTTAATTTCTCTTTGTCTAGAAATTACCTAATTTCACCATCATAGACAGTCTTGACGGATAAATGATTGTTGGTTGAGAAATTGTTTCTTTTCAGTTTTAAGTCATTACATTGTCTTCTTGCCTGCATTGTTTCTGATGAGAAAAAGAATTTAGTTTTATTAGTTTTCCTTTGTAACTAACTTTTCACTTTTCTTCAGCTGCTCGCGACGTTCTTTCTTTGTTACTGGTTTTGAAGAGTTTGATTATAATATGTCTTGGTGTTTTTCTTTTAGGGGTCTATCCTGTTTGGAGTTCATTCAACTTCTTAAATGACTATCATCTTGTTTTTCGTGATGTTAGGGAAGTTTTATCTATGGGCTTTTTTGTCTCTTCCTGTTCTGGCATTCCTATCACAGGTTATGCTATTCCACTTGATGCTATTGCATATAGATCTTAGGCTTACTTCAGGTGTTTTAAAATTCTTTTTCTGATGTGTCTTCTAGCAGATGAATATTGAGAGATGTTTCCTCAAGCTAAGTGATTCAGCTTTCAGTGGATTCAGTTCTACTTCTCTGCCCTTTTAGTACATTATATATTTCTGAAATCTTAGTGTTAATCTTCTTGTTTTCTAACTGCTATTGTTGTATAGTTCCCATTTTTTTCAATTATTTTGTCAGTTTTGTTTCCTGAATTTTCCCATAGTTTTGTTTATATTTTCCTTAGTTTTATCTGCAGTTTTCTCAATCTTTCTCACAATTCACTGAAGTTACTCAATTGGCATTTTTTTAAATTCCTTTATTAGGTAGCTATGATAGTAATTCTGGTGAGATTATTTTCTGACTCTGTATTTTGGTCACTTGATTGAAGCACTCTGTCTTGTCTTATTTCTTTGTGTAAACTGAAATTGTCTGCTTTCTCCAAGACACTGTAGTGTCACATTTATACTTAATTGATGATTGTATACTGGTGAATTCTCAGGCACTCACTACCTGTCTCCTGGTGATGTGATAGAAACTGGAACAAACTACTGATCTTGCAAAATTCTATAATGTGATCTTCACCATCATTTGTATCACCAAGGCCATATTTTCCAACTACTGATCTTTCCTCTTTGTTTCCAACCTTTGAATTGCAATTGCCAGTAATAATCAATACATCTTGATTACATGTGTGATCAATTTCAGATTGAAGAAGTTGGTAGAATTCTTTAATTCCATCATCACTGGCTTTAGCGGTTGGTGTGTAAATTTGAGTAATACTGGTATTAACTGGTCTTCTTTGTAGGTGTATGGATATTATCCTATCACAGACAAAGTTGGACTTCATAACAGATCTTGATATGTTCTTTTTGATGAGTAATGCAACACCATCCCTCTGCAATCTGTCATTCCTGGTAAAGTAAACCATGTTATTGTCAGATTCAAAATAGCCAATACCAGTCTATTTCAGGTCACTAATGCCTAGGATATCAATGTTTATGTGTTCCATTTTTGACAATTTCCAATTTTCCTAGATTCATACTTTGTATATTCCATGTTCTGATGGATGTTTACAGCTATTTCTCTTCATTTTGTGCTGTGCCCCAAATCAAAGTTGTACAAAGATATACAACCCTAGAAAACCTGCTATGAGTTGGAACTGACTCTATAGCATGTAACAACAGGTCTGGGTAAGAGTAGGTGGAAGAAAATGCTGGTAGTGAATGTTGTGATTGTTGTTGTTGTTAAGTGCTTTTGAGTTGATTCCAAATCATAATGACCCTGTATAGGGTTTCCAAGTATAGGCTGGTAGGCTTGAACCACTATCACTGCAGCTAGCAGTCTAGTTCTTATTCTGTAACTCCACACCAGGAAGATGTGGATAGATTTATGTAATTCATTTGTGAGTGGTTAACAGAGTTAACTGTGATCATAAAAATTTGGAACTCTAATGTGTCTAAGAGTTCCAAATTTTTATGCTCACAGTTAACTCTGTTAACCACTCACAATTGAATTGCAGGAGAAAGATGAGGCGTTCTGCTCCTGTAAAGATGTACAGCCTCGGAAACCCTGTGCAGGGTGTTACTATGAGTCAGAAAAGACTCCACAGTACTTAACAACATCCACATCTTCCTGGTGTGGAGTTGTAGAATAAGAACCGGACTACTAGCTGCAATGATAGTGCTGGAATGGCACTGTGGGTTAATGCGCCAGACTGCAAAGCTGTTTGAACTGCAAGGTTGGCGGTTCAAGCTCACCACCTGCTTCTCGGAAACCCTACACAGGGTCGCTATGGGTCAGGATCGACACAACGGCACTTAACAACAATACTGTGTACAAAATAAACTGTCATAAAAGCAAGAGAAGGGAGATCTCACTACCATCAGAGAAAACAGGCAGCATCAAAGAAGAAAGAGCCAAGAGTGGAGAGCGTCCTTTGGACACCAAGATCCCTGCACACTGAACCTCCTCAGCACAGGAACAGAAAGCTGTGACACTAAAGGAGCGGCAAAGGAATGGCAGCAGCAGAACCAACAGCCAGGGCATGAGACAGAGCAGTGGGCTTCCCAGACCACAGAGGAAATAAAACTCAGTGACTTTGGGCATGACACTTTCTTGTAGAGTGGTGCCTCTAGGCACTTAATTTGGGGGGGCTAGCTTTGCTCACCTCCAGATCTAGAGACAAGTGTCTTCAGGCTGAAGCTTATGGTGGAGAGGTATGTCCTGTAGTCATTTATCAATAGCCCAAAAGAGCTTTGTAATGCTGTCCAGACAGAAAGGGGTCTACTTGTGGGCATCACTGGCTGCCCTGAGCATTTTCTGATCCTGCATTGTCACCTGTTAACTTCCCTAAAAAACTCCGTAACTGTGAGCCTGGTGTCTAAGTTCTGTGTGGCCAGTGCAATGATTTAGTGAACCCAGATGACAAGTAGAGAGTGCTGTGGTATAGGATGGTTGGTACCACCATGGTTTATTTTTTTCCCCAAACATCCACCTCAAATTCCCTGCTCTCTTACCCATACAATAAAATTGAAACCTAACATTCAACTTACTGAACATTCATTAGGTTGGCTTCAATTCAATGTCTAATGGTATCTTCTACTACTACAAATGTTCCCCAAAACAATGACCAATTTACCTACTACTCTATCTTTGCTAATTTTGTTTCTTCTAATAAGTGAAAAAAGGAAGTATGTTTAAAACTGAAATGTCAAAGAGAAAGTGAAAACATTGAAAGGATACTCAAAGTAGTTTGCACCAACAACTATGCTGCAAGTATAGTTGAACACTAACCTAAATCACAAAGAAGCTACAGTATTACTAAACATGACAGTAACAATGGAAGAAAAACTGATCTGTTTGGAAAATAGGAAGGAAACTATGAAAAACAGAGTTCCTAAGGAAACAAGCAAACAAACAAAACTAGCAATGTGGAAAC